TATAAGTTCTTATCGAAAAAACGTCTGCGATACAAGTCCTTTCTTAATTAAAACTAGTTTATTCTTTCTCGATACAACTTTGTAATACACAGAATTTCCACAGTCACTTTAAACGTAACAACCTTACTAACACATGCTATAAATCATGGTGATTCACACACTTTACTTACGGTGCTCACTGTTCGCTTGACTCAATTATCTATCTCTTCAATCTATCTCTTCGATCTATCTGCCTATGCCACTGGCTTTCTTTGCCAGGCTTATATACTAAAAAAAAGGCATTTAGCAAATACTCGGAAATCCGCGGGGTTCCCCGGTGATTCTAGAAACTCCAGCACGCATGCTTCCAGCGTCACGCGACTTCAGCTGTCGTAACAGAACCTTCATTTCCCACAGGAAAAACAGGAAGTTTCTTTTATATGAAATGGAACGTATTTTATAAACGGCGAAAATGGCTACACAATGGACTATTTGCACTCTGTTCACCGGATTTCAGCGTTGTAACTTTTATAGAAATTTCAATTAAGAGTACTTAGGTTTGTTCTTCTCCTTTTTAACGCAAAGCTACACAATGTTATGTTAGCATTCGTCCACCGGATTGTTTGTAAGTCAGTAAAGTTACCGCTCACTTGCTGCATGACCATAGCTGTAGAGGTTGATAGATATGTTCTATAATACTTATTTCCTCGAAAAGGTGGGGGAGGGGGCGAAGGACGCCTTTAGGGTCAGTCAATCAGTAGACACTAAAATGGCGTCACATAAAGGACGCTTAACGTTGCAATTTGTACTGTCGTGACGTCAGTAAAACATGCGCATGCCATGAATCACGAAAAGAATTATGCACTCTGTACAAGTACATTTAGTTTAAACAGGTTAAAGTATTTTATTGAATTTCAATCATCTTCTAAATATATATTTTATGCATTTTTGAATAAATTACTTTGAAAATCTTATCTGCACTCGACTTGCAATCTGAGGGTAGCAGGTTCGAATCCCTGTCACATCAAACATGCTCGCTCTTTCAACCGTGGGGACGTTATAAGGGACGGTCAATCCCACTATTCGTTGGTAAAAGAGTAACCCAAGAGTTGGCGGTGGGTAGTGATGACTAGCTGCCCTCCCTCTAGTCTTACACTGCTAAATTAGGGACGTCTAGCGCAGATAGCCCTAGTGTAGCTTTGCGCGAAATTCAAAAATAAACAAATAAACAAATTTAATCAAATATTGATTATTAAGCGTAAAATATAAATATATTTCACAGTTCGTAAATATATGCGTTATATTATAATAAATTATTCTCATATTTCTTGAGTTGCGATCACATGTACTGGTTTCAGAAGTTATACTTATAGGCCTAAGTTTAATGCCCTGAACATAGATATAAATAACACTAGATTGGCCAGTCACTACTCTTTATCATTGAGGGGCATGTGAGCATGCGGCCGCCATTGCTTTGTGTTGAATTTCGAACTGGCAGACAGTGTAAAGTGGCCAAGAGTGACAGTCGTCCTTCTAAATCACGACCCGAAAAAACGAAGGGAACACAGTGCTATGCCAGTATATGTTACACATACTGTAACCAAGAATCGAAAGCTAAAGGTGTTACATTCCACAAGTAAGTAAAACCCATTTTTTTCTATATAACATAATAAGTTACAGGGGACGACATCCAACTGGCCTGGATGTTTACATCTAGTTTCAAAGTATATATGCGAGTCTCTTTTAGAATGCATTTCAGCTACACAAGTCGACATGACAGTTTAACAGCTTTTGATTTGAAATGCTGACAATATTAAGTATTCATATAAGTTGAAATAATCATCCACGACATTGTTATGTCGTCTGCTGGCCAGTCTGGCTACACGGAGATGCCGCCAAAACATACACTATCTACAGATACAAGATCTGTGTACATTCACTTTTGATGCTATCACCGAGTGTCAAGATATAAGTTTATTAATCATACCGCTTCGCAATGAGAGAGGAAATCAGGGTTATTTTTTTATGGTTTACGACAAGTCTAGTCCGATCAATGACGTTTGGTTTATCTGGTAAAATATTCAAACATAGGCCTAATAGTAACACTGTGAGATTAAATTTTTTTCAGGTGGCCTCTTCCAGTCCAAAATCCTTGAGCTGTCAGTGTCATTATGATAAATAATCAGTATGTAGTACAAGTGGCCCGAAATATTTTGTGTTGCTTGAACAAACAACAACAACAAAAAAAAAAACACGAAATAAAACATTAATGTAACTGTGATATATTGAAGAGTGCTTATAATAGAGTGAGCCTAGTTTCATTACTGTATACGTGTACATGCTTTTCTATTTTGTTACATTTAATTGTAATGTATGTGTGAAGTAGTGTATTAGATGTATAAATGATTTTCACATTGCCGATTGTGTATTTGCATGTTCACATGAAAACATAAACCAGTTAGTAATTTGTGTCTCGTAACTGATAAATTGAATAAGAAGTTACTAATTAGACATAGTCTGATTCATATACGCATGTGAGAAACACATGACTGTAAATGTTATAGAAGCAGGTTGTAATTCAGAGACTTGTTTTCAGTCAGATGGTTATCCATTTTGGTCACTAGGATCAATTTTCAATGTAAATATTATGAATAAATATTCTTTACTTAATTAATATCGGTTAAGATTTATACATTTGATACTGATACTTGTAGATCTTGTTTTGGTTTGTTCTTAACCTATCAATGAGGTATCTGAGACTCAGTTATTGTAATAATACATTTAAAGGGCAATAATAAGTTGACAAACAACGATTTATAAGCATAATGAAGGGATTTATTTTGGGGGAACATTCTACATGTTTTGATAGAACACTGGTCACCCATTCAAGCCGTCTCCAAAATTTATTGGACTGTCATCTTCAGATACCCCACATTTTCTTGAAACATGAGGCATGCCCCCCCCCCCAAGTAAATCACTTCACTATGCTTATAAATTATTTGTCAACTTATTATTAGATTAGTGTAATGTGCTTCCATATCCAAGTACGTTTAGAGGACACAGTAATATCACTTTTTCAAAACAACGGACAATTTAATTCTTCCACAATTTGTAAAGAATAAATGTTTATTCCAGTATATTCGGGTAAGTTTTTCTTTTTTTTTAATAATCGTGCTGATATTCCGCATAATTACGCCATCTTTGTAAAACGAGTGTACACATGAGTCATAAACTTACCCTAACCCTCTACCACAAAGTTGTTATGCCACAACGATTGGTCAGTGGGACGGTATACTTCCTTGGCTATGTTTTTGGGTCACGCTTTCCTGTAGAGAGGACATGCCCATTTCAAGGGGTGGTACAGAGAGATGTATAAGCTAGTATGAGTTGTTTGTTAAGGGTGGGTGGGCAATCTTCCTTTAACCTTGAATATTCTGATAGGTTACCTAAGAATTGTGGGATATACTGCACGAGACTCCTGGTCTGATTTAACAGGGTTGTATCACCAATATTCTTGAGCTTACCCTTGTCTGTTATAGATGTCATCCGACCTACTCCAACAGCCAATTATAATCAATAACGAACTTAGAAACGTGCCAGGTATAGGCTCCATCACAATTCTCTGTTCTATTAGTGAATACAAGTGAATTCATTTACTTGTTCACTTGTTGTACGTTGTTGTCGTTTATGCTCATTTAATTCTTTATAAAACATTTACAGAAACTTTCGCTGTATTGTGGACATTTATAAATATCCGTGGGATGTCAGTGTATCTGATTATCACAAATTTAGAATAGTTTATCAGATGAGGTTTTAAGTCATGCATATATGTGCCGGTACTCGCATAGTTGTAAACGTTTATATCCAGGAATCTCTCCAGATGATATTAAAGATGGTCTGTTGTTTTTTTATGATATAGGAGAAACTTGCCATGCCTGAACCTAACGTTACCAACATATCCCATGTGGTGGACAACATCATCAAGTCAGAAGAAGACAAAATATCCTATAGAGGCCTGGAATTAACTAATGGAATGAAAATTTTGTTAATCAGTGATCCCACAACTGAAAAATCTGCAGCTGCTTTGGATGTTCACATTGGTAAACGTTTTATGAAATGTTCACTTTTACTCCTCTCGTGTTAAACATAAAATGATAAATATCGAAAATCTTGACTATTCAGCTGTTAGATAAAGTTGATTATATGTCATAGATAAGAATGTACACTCGTTTGTTCAAGGGTTAGCAAGTCTTAATTTACGTTTTGTGTTTATTGTAATTGAACTTTTTTCTACTTGTATGTTACAAGTTAAATAAAAAATTGGTAATTTAAAAACCTGCAAATAGGGATCATAAAAAATAATGTCTACAGTATATCCAGTCTAGTTTCC